TCAGTGATTGGCAACTCATTCCAACTATTGAATGAATCAATGGAAGAACATTTCAAAATTTGTCAATAATTTAATGAAAAAAGTTTGTTGGTTTTTTCCGTAAAAGATTATCCAATAAAGATCAAATTTAATTTGTTATGTCACTGCTAAAACGAAAAGGTTTATGCAATATGTATGGAGACGAAAATTCAAACTCACGACCTATTAGAAGAAGTAGAGATACCAAAACTGCTAAAATCTAGAAAAAATTTTTCAGGGTTTCACATTAATTTACGATTAAGTATTTTTTAGAGCTCATAAAAGTGTGATTTCATAGCATAGTCATTTTTGTAAATATGCTCAGTACGACAATTAATCTCTAAATTATCGACTTGCAAAATTGAAATTAAAAATTATATAAAATAAAAACAATTGAATCTCGAAAATGTTGATTTAAAAGGAAGGGAAAAAACATATTAGTAGAATAATTTATAGAAAAAAATATTAAAGATGCTCGTTTGAGCGTTTTGGACTCTAATATCATATTAATATCCGTGGTTACCTCTCAAAACGAATTGACAATGAGAAGGTAGATCATGTCTATCACAAACTCCTGTAATTACTTTCTTATCTTTTCAATCTGGAATCTTTAACCCTCTGAACCCAACGTAGATCCGCCCCTAACCACTACTGTATGTTTGTGTTGGCTAAAAATATTGATGTTTGAACCTTAGAAAATAATGTCTAATTCTTGATTTTAGTACGTGGTTTATATTTGAAAAATAAAAGTTCCAAATATATTTAAATTTATATTTGTAAAGAAAAAAGGTTTCTAAATATAGTGATGAATAAAAGAAAGAAGAAGGATTCTTCATTCTTGCTAAGTAATCTATCCACCTACAAAAATTCCTTCAATTTTTTAAAATTTACGATAGATTAACAAAAAACAGTTAAAATTCCAGTAACCTATCAAAGAAGTCTTCAAAAAATAATAATAAATATTTTTTTTCTTAATACATGTCCTATAAAAGGATTTTAATTAAAATATTTTTATACTTTGTTACATTTTCTTTAAAGTACTTTTAATCACAAATTTATCTGGTTGCGCTACATCTAGTATAAATATCAAATTACAATAAAATGATTAATCACTTTATAGATCTAGAATGTGATTATTGTAAAAATTATTTTTATTTGTTACCAAACACTCCAGATTTTTTAAAAATCGCTTTTAATTTTAACCCTCCAAAATCATTTAGTAAGTTAATTCAAATAATATCAGATTTTTAAATATATCAGCAATATTATATGTTTACAAAAATGGTATGTTTTGAGATATTTTAAACATGTGGGGTGTGGTTACATCCACAAGTTGACATAAATGTAATATATATATATATATTTTAACCTTAATTTTGTAACATTGAAAATTAATATGAACTAAAAATAGCACAAAAAAAAAAGATTCCCAGAGAGATATGACTTGTTCTTGAGTTTGCATTAAATTTCACCTCATCCATAAAAGATGTCAACAATTTAACACTTTGTTTTTTTTTTTTGGGTATTAGAAAGGCAAGTTGGGGGCAGCAATTAATTGGTGTGTTCACTTTTTCAAAAGCTTCAATAACACTGTTTAATTTTGGTCAAACCCTAAAAGAGGAGAAGAAAATTCAATGTCCCTTTGGGTTTCCTTTTTCAACCAAACTTCTACTGTTAATTGTTACTTTTGTCGATTTTTTTTGTTTAAAATATAAATTGGCAAAGTGGAATCTGAACATGAGATGAGAATTTGAATTAATTTTCTCGAGTTGAATTGTTACCAACTCTACGTGAATAACTCGACGATGAAATGTACATTCAACTTACTAAAATCTCATCATGACATTTTTTATATCATTTTTTAACGTGTTGTCTTATTTTGGATAAAAGTCAGAATATGAAAGGTTTGAACTTTTAAACTTTTAAAACATTAAAAGATTAATAAATGTGTAAAAAAAATGGAGAATTTCTCACCATAAGACGAAGATAAAAAAGGAATATAAAAAAATATTAGATTCTATTGTAATTACTCTTTCAATTGCTTTATTATTATATTATTATTTAAGAAACATGTGGGGTAGGAGGATTTAAAAGGCTAGACATGAATTTTAAACCTAGTTATCGTTGAATTTTTCTTAATCAACAATAAAGGTGTAAATTGACAACTTTTTTATAGTTCACATTTATAATTTGATTGGGATATTCGTTATGAGGCTGAGCCTTTCTTTGAGCAAGCATCGAAATGCTATTCTTTCTAGTCTCATTCTGATATTTTGAAAAATACGCACAAATCAGTAGTGGGACACTGTCTACTATTGAAACAGTACTTACATCATTTCTCTCTCCTCAAAGAATTCAAAGTCATCAGGATAATAAACAACATTTGTTTATATTACTTAATTTTCTTTATTGGAAAAAAATATATATCATTAGAATCAAGAGATGAAATGGGATGAATGAAATTTAATCGTTTTAATGCAAATAGGATATGCAGTACTAAGGCCTCCATTAAATAAAAAAGGTGTTTCCTTTATGAGGAAAATTTTGTTCATAAAATTTTTTTTTTATTTAACCAAACAAAATCGTATTTGAACATAATATTAATTTGGTATATCTAAATTGGTTCTTTTGACTTTAATAGGTCAATCAAAATCATTAGAGTTGTTAAAAACTTGTAAAATTGAAATCTTTTTAAATAAACCCAAAAAATCCCATATGGGAAAACAATCCAAATTAATAAATGAACAAATTCATACTTTATAATAATTAAAAACAAAAGTAAAATCTTCTTGACCAATGTGAATCTCTCATTTTCTAATCTCTTAGTTGGCCCTCACAAGTGCAATGTATTAGAGAGAATTAAAAAATCGTTTTTATTTTGCCAAATCAAAAGATGTATATTAAATAATAATTATTCCCCATAATTATAATTAAAGGAAAAAAAAAGATTATTTATTGAATAAATAGTTTTAAAAGTCAAAACTACTTTAGTGAAATACCAATTCAAGTGATGTACTCTTTCCTTTTCAATTAAATGATAAATAATTGCCCCTTTTGACCTCAGATCTCACCTTATTAATTTGCTTCCACATTATTCGTTGAAAAAGCCATTTGGGTTTTTTAGACTTTTTCTCAATTTTAAATTTGAATATTTCAATTAAAAATATAGTGAGGTATTAAAAAAGAACTAAATGAGAAAACTATTTTTATCCGTTACCTCCACTTTTTTTTTTATTTATTTATTTTAGTTTCTATACTCTCAAAACGTCGTCCATTTCGGTTTCCTTTACTTTGAACTTTAAAAATGTTACCATTTTGATTCTTGTTTGAAAGACTTTCACACAAATTTTATACACAAACATAAATCATTATGGCTACATTTCAATAAATCTATTAAATATAGTATGTGCTGAATTATAATTAAATAAATAGATAAAAAATAAAATAAATGGACCAATATGATCCATTTTTAAAAGTACAAGATCAAAACGAACTTTTAAAAGTATGTATTTTGTTTTTAGTACAACAATTTAGAGATATGGAATATCAAACTTTCGACCCTGAGACAAGGAATATATGTCAATTACCGATATGTTATATTTACACCGGCTAAAAATATTTTTTTAGTAGAACATATAGGGATGTAGTATATATCAAACTCACAATCTCTTAGTTTAAGATATATGTCAATTATCGTTGAGTTATGTTCCCTTTGACATGTTGGCTAAAAGTATAGGTACTAAAATAAATTAAAGTTGAAAGTACTCGATAGACATTTTTACCAATAATTTAGCAAAAAAATAATAATAATAATAAAGAAATATTTTAATATTATAGTCATTATTTCATCCTACGTCACATTGACATGGTTGAATTTGTTAGATTTCGACATAGGTAAGGTATGGAGAGCAAAAATTAAAATAATGTTTTTCTTAATATATTGTTTTTTATTATAATTGAGACGTATAACTTCTTGCTATTTATATATTTAAATACTTGATTTCATCACTAATGTAATGGTGACATACAACCTTAGTCATCTTGGATGTAATATATTTAGTACAACTAAATTTTAAGATTATCATTATTTATAGAAATAAATATTGATTTAATTCTTAAGACAAATATTGATTATCTTCTAATTCCATATTTGTATTTCTATCATGTTTCTTATGTTTATACAATTTTTCAATTTTATCGTAACCTATGATTTTAAAATTTTCAATTTAATCTTTTTGTGTATTTATTTATCTTTTTCATTCAAGATAATTTAAAATATATTTTATTAACATAATTTAACCCCTCATGATATGACATTAAAATTTATTTTATTAACGTAATTTAAAATATATTTGTTTTAATTTACTAAATCCTTTATTGTTTTTCATAACTACATTTGGTAATTATTTTTGTTTTGTTTTTTATTGCACAAACGAAATCATATTTAGTAACAATTTAAATTTTATTTTTTAAAATTAAATATTCAAATTTATTGTGTTGTATTTGTTTTTTTAATATTTATTATGCTTTCTAAAAATAAAAATATAAACAATACTTCTATCTATATTTTGAAAAAAAGATTTTGAAAGTTTAAAATATTTATCTACAATTCTGCATACTTTTTTAAAAATGAGAAATTATAAATAAGAATAATTATCAAGTATCTATGTTTATGAAACAATAAATAAAATAAGAAAAAGAGCCCCAACATGAACTTAGAACTCGACCAATAATAATTTACCCGACTTAGAATGAAATAATGAAATAATATTATAAATAATGAATACACACAATGGACTAGAGGGACAAAACAAACAACAAAACCTTAATCATTACCTTATCCAATTTGTATTACATAGTTTTACAAAATAATAATTCCTCTTCTTTTTTTTTTTTTATCAAAGGAAAGATTCTTAAAGAAAAGAACCAGAAATGGAAAGATGAAGGAAACAAACTACTGTTAGGAGAAAAGACCGTTTTGCCCTCGGAATTAGGCAAAGGGAGAAACGCCGTCGGATCACTCCTTGACTTGATCCAACGGACGAGATTAGGCGACCGAGGAAAGAGGAAGCTTCCGTCGCGTATCACCGAAGGCGCGACGCTCCTCTGCTTGTATAAGTACCTTTCCACTCTCTCCTTCCACTCTCAATCCAATATCTAAACCCTAATCTTCAAAGTTATTCAATCGTTTCTTAATTTCGATTTCAAATTTTCAATTTCCGCTTCTACGGATCTATGGATTTCGTCAATTTGGAGGAAGCTGCTGCGCTCAAGAACATCAAGCTTCATCTTCTCGGCGAACTCTCTCCATTGCCGAGGAATTTGGCTTCTGATAATCTTTGCGTATCGTCATCGGATTGTTCGGTGAGTTCTGGAGCTTCTTCGACCGCGAACTGTCCGCTTACGATCTCCGACTACTTCGATTCCAACGAAATCTTCGAATTCTCCTCTGATTTGATGCCAAATGAGCTGGAAGATGATTTTTTTAGTTTTGAGATGAAACCTAATGTGATCGATCTCACGACGCCGAAATCGGCGGAATCGAGCTCTCTTTTCAGTAATGGATCATTCGAAGTTGAATCGGAGCCTAAAGGAGTTAACCAGATCGCTTCGGAGACATCGAATTCGAATCGTAAACGAGCGAATTTGAAGATTTCGCTCCCGAACAAGACGCAGTGGATCCAATTCGACGCGCCGGAGAAGAATCCGGCCGCGGTGATGCAGAGGACTGCGGATCTTGAGGCGGAGAGGAGAGTTCACTACAGAGGCGTTCGGCAGAGGCCTTGGGGAAAGTTCGCCGCCGAGATTCGGGATCCGAATCGCCGTGGATCGAGAGTCTGGCTTGGAACGTTTGAGACCGCAATCGAGGCTGCGAGAGCGTACGATCGCGCCGCCTTCAAGCTTCGAGGATCCAAAGCGATTCTCAACTTTCCGCTAGAAGCTGCGAATTCTTACTCAGATCAACCGGCGGCCGCGAACTCTTACTCGGAACCTGCCGCCGCCACCGGGAAGCGGCGGAGGGAAGAGGAAGTACGAGAGGAGGTTGAAGCGGTGGTGGTGAAGAAAGAGAGGACGGCGGAGGTCAACGCCGTCGCCGACGTTGCTTACCTGAGAGATATGCCGTTAACGCCGTCATCTTGTTCGATGGTTTGGGACGGTGAAACGAAGGGAGCTCTCAATATGCCGCCGTTATCGCCGTTATCTCCTCATCCGGCGTTGGGTTTTCCTCAGCTTATGGTTGTATAATATTGGGGGAAAATCTTTTCATTTTTTCTTTTCCCTTTTCCGTTTTTCATCCTCTGAATAAATAAGAAATTGAGTTTGTTGATTTGTTAATGATTTTTTCCAAGAAAAATTCAATACAAAATGCACAAAATATTACAACCATTGACGCAAAAAGTTAGAGGTTTAATTAAATATAAATTAGTAGTGTACAGTCTAAAAACTCATTATTCAGAGTAAAAATGGATTTAAATTTTAAAAATGTTTCATTGTAGTATGTTGTATTAACTTATTTTTAATTTCATGTTAATAATTTTTAGTACAACAAGAAGACGTGAGATTGAACCTTTTCTCTAAAAAAAAGAGTAAGGTATCTTGGTTGTTAAGTTAAGTTCATGTTGTCAATTTCATTTTAATGTTATTCTGAACAAAAAAAAAAGTGATCGAAAATTTACAATATTTTTAAGTTGACATAACAATATTTTAAAATGGATTGTTATTGTCGAAGGTTGATTCACTTAAAATATTATAATTATAATTATTGGTTTCTTTATTAGTCTTTTCATATATATAGAACATTGTATTAATTTAACTAAAATTAATCTAATAAATATGTCACGTGAGTATTAATTTTTTAGTATAATAAGCGGGTGGATAATTCAAACTCATGATTTATTAATATCAATTATAGTTGAACTAAGTTCATATTAGCATCTCATTATTCTATTAATATATTAAGAGTATAAACTAAATATAAGAAGGTAATTAAAATTTTTAAATCTAAAGAAACGTGTCTATAATTAACCAATTAAAATAATACATTACTCTTATAACAATTATCTTTAAAATAAGAAAATGATAATGATTACAACATTCCATCATTACATGTACAAAAATCACAAAACATATTATTTATATATATAAAAAAAAGATTATTATAAACTGGATTAGGAAAATAAAATTTTGAAAAGCAAAAAGAAATAATGATTTCTATAAATTGAATTTGAAGGGAATGGGATACAAAACACAAGGCTTGCGGCTGTGTGATGTCATCGGATTTCTCTATAATTTATTAATTTTTGGCCAAAACCAAAAGCAAAAGTCAAATCCATTTGACCAAACACACAAATTAGGAAAAATGAAGAATTTTTCAATAACCCCACGTGCTTCTTTGACCAATTTCAACTTTTCTTACAATACTTTTGGTTTGACCCTTATATCCATATATATTTATATGCAACGTCTTGATTATTAGATATATAGCTAAGTCGAACATAGTTTTAACAATTAGAAATATGTAGTATTTCGTAATGTCAACGGTGAAAATATGAAATTTTCTCTATCTTTGTCCCTACTCCTAAAATCATTCCTTGTGACTACAAAATCCTAGTTGGATTAGTCAATCAAGAATTGAGCACGGGATTCCAAGGTCGCTATTACATGGAGAAGTTTTCCCCATTTTAATTTTGGACTTTAATTTTATTTAGTTTTTTGACATATATATGATGAAAATTATATATGTATATATTAAATATTATTTGGAATACGACCAAAGTCTCACATTGACTAGATAAGGGGAATATCATCGATGTATAAGTCAGGGACGACATCTTCCATTGATAGAAGGCTTTTTGGGTGAAACCAAAGAGTGAAATCAAAAGGGCTTATATTCAAAGTGGATAATATCATACTATTGTAGAAAACCACATAAGTTTTGCTGTCCTTAAAAAGTAGACAATTATCGACTATTATAGAAATATGGAGGGATCGGTTGTTCCCAACAAGTGGTATCTAAGTCATGCCCCTAACTTAACCATGTCAAGCACCGATAAGAGTTTGAAGGATGAATGACTAATTGAATTAAGGATAGTGATTTTTGATAATGCAACCGAAGTCTCATATTAACTAGATGAGGAAAAGACTGCGGATATAAAAGTTTGGTCCAAGACTTTTTTTGTTTCATTAATACAATAAAACAATAATTTATTGAAACATTAACTTTAAACTGTAATTTTTTTCTTGGGCACCGACCTAATTGATTTAAAAATTTTAAAAGATTAGGGATCAAATCAATAAAAACTTCAAAGAATAGAAACCATTAAATATATTTAGCCCTAAAATAATAAAGAAATAGAGTGTAATTCGTAGCTAAAATCATAAGATAAATAGATAGAGCTAATTAACATAATTGCATCAATATTATGCAAAATAAAAGAGAAAAACATGATTTGACTATAAATTAAAATTATCAAATCAATCAATCTAGAAATTTGGGCAATAGGGAGGGGATATTGTTGACGTAGAAAGATCAAAGAAGACCTAAAATAGGTCCCATATTAAACTCCTAACAAACAAAATGAGACAAAAAAATAAGTTTCAATTGACGCAATGAATCGTAATGAAAACTTTGATTATGGTGGGATCCATCTCAAACTTTGTAATCTCGTTACATAAAAAGGTGTAATATCATTACACTTTTACAACCTCATCAATCTAATTCTCATTCCTTATTCCGTGGACCTCACATATATATTATAATTAATGTGCCTCTTTTACCCTTTCTCTCTCGTATATGGATTAGATCCATATAATTTTTAATTAGTTTTTTTTGTACTTTTATAATTTCTTCTTTATTTATACTTCAATTTTTATTATATAATATGATAAATTAATATTAATTAATATCAATAAATTTTTTAAATAGATATTATTACTTATAAATATTAGAATAATAAAACTTAATATTATGTTATATTAAAGTTTGGTTCTTCTACTAAAAATATTTTATTAATATGTAATTTTATTTTAATTATTCATTATGTATTAATATTAGATAAATTATTATAATAAAAAATATTTACTATCAATAATATAGTAATAAATTAAATTAAAATTTATTATTATTGTAATTTAAAAAAGATTAGCACAAATAATATATATGTAATTAGCTAAAAAGGAGAAAGCGGTATATTAGTAATTGTTATATATCTGATTCTGATTCCAATTCCTAGTAAACAACATCAAAGGAATTCTAATTACGATTTCAGAAAATTTCTAGTAAACAACATCAATGGAATAACATTACGATTCCGATTGATTTCATTAGGATTGATTTTCATTACGATTGCGGACATGTAAACGTGGTCTTAGTTTCAATTGACGTGCTTATTCAAGTTAACACCGTTCTTTTGACTACAACACCAATTATGGTGATAAAACTTGAAGGCAAAAAAATACGGGTATGACCGCCTATATGAGCATATAGTTTAGTGGTAAATGAAATCTACTTCTCTTGAAATTAAAGGTTCAAATCTCCTTATCCACATTTTTTGTATTAAAAAAGTCCGGGTATGACCCTCCCATGCATTGACCTAGTGATCCACCGATTACGTCYCCTCCTTTCACAAATATAAAATCCATTGGTCTTTTGATTRGATAAAGAGTRAGGTAATCCGACTCTTGAATAGGTAATATTAATGACGTTGCTCTTTTAGACTTTTTAAATAGACTTATTTAAGAGGAAAATATTGTCTTTTGTCTTTTCAAAGTAAAGTTATTTTTTGTTGACAATTTTTATACGTCAAGCTTTTAACTACACCTAAATTCATTCTATGTTCAAACTTAAAGTCAATCCGAAGACGTGTGAAAACTAAAAGTCAATTCTAAGGCGTGTGAAACCTCTCAATTTTGAGTTAATTATTACAAATTGTAAGTAATAATATATATTTTTATATTATGGTTTAAATATTAATATTTCACACAGACAATTCAAGTCCCTTTTAAAATTTGTAGTTGGTAGAAAAAGATTACAATTTTAACAAGAAATTATACCAAATCATTATTTCTAATTCTACCTAATGATTATTATATTGTCCAATATTTTATTAGCTATTCTCCTTATGTTTAGAAGGAAAAGAGTTTTTTACTTTTTTTTTTAATGGCCATGACAATCAATAATTATTGAAATTGATTACCCAAAGAAAAAAAAAAACCCTAACTCATTTTGACCATTAGATTTCGGTTTCACACAATGTAAGCTCATTCAAAATCTAACTTTTTTTTCTTATTTAATATTATTATTGGTAGTAAATTAAATTGGATTTAACCAATAATTTTGCCACATAAGCAAAATAAAATATATATATATATATATAACCTAGGGACTAATAAAGATATAAAAAAAATCTAAAAATTGATATATATCATCTTAAWCGTGGTTTATTATTTTTTTAGTATAACAAACGTGGAGATTTGGAATTGATTCTTTAAGCTCTAAGGAAAAAGTAAGTTGTCCTAATAATCCAGCTATAAGCATATCTTAACTAGTTCAATAATTGGTAATTTTTTCTATTAATAATAAGTTCTAATATCCCGTTCTTTTGAATTATAGTATTCTATAAAGAAAAATGAGTAAAATACAACATATGATATAAGGTGATTTAGTTGCAAATATCTTTCAATTATATATATATATTTATTGCAAAGGTAAAATTGATGATTGGTTATAAGCATTTGGAATATGAAACAGCCATTTACAATTTATTAAAGAAAAAAAATATAAATATAAATTTTTGTACTTGAGCCATCTGCATCTTTCATCCCAAAAAAATAGGCCTTTAATGCATTTGGCCCGTGAGGACAATACAGAGGCCTGATTTGCTAAAAGACCTCTCCGTTCGAGAAATCAAAATAAGAGGATGGAACCATTTTTTCTGATCCCATCCCAATTCAACAATAAACAAGTCAATTCTTCCCCATCTCTAGTAAAAATCGGAAAAAGAGATCCATTTATAATCATCGATCACCATTCGATGGATCATAGCACAGACCTCATTTTCAAATCAACGGTGAAGGTGGATTGATCAAATTCGTAACTTTTTTTAATTGAGTTATGTTCAGATTGACACATAAAAAATATATCAATGATTTGATATTGATTGACATATATGATATACTTTATATTTACCATAAATTATAGTCAATTGATTACTATTATTATTATTTATATAAAAACATTACAGTCAATCCATGGTTTCGATTCCTAAAATTTTAATTTCAATATTTTGATTTTTAATAAGGCATTTTGATTGACACTTTATTTTATTTAAATGTCATATTGATGTTTGAAACAACCTAAATAGGT